GCATATCGAGATCCTCATATGTTCTAACACGAATATCAGCCTCCTGCTCCCAAGTGGCTCCGTGGCGATCCCACTGAATACGAACGAGGGGAATATCACGTTTCCGGAGCCGTCGAATCTGTCGGTCTAACACAGCTACCGGTCGCTCCTCGTAAGATAAATCTGGATGGATCTGAATATCGGAATGCTGAATGACATGATCGGGGTCGCACACGTACTTGCGTAACATGGATACATGGAAAACATTATGAACATTGGACAACTCGAGAGGTAAGTCAATAAGCAACTTCGCCCACTCGCTTGAGAACTTCGAACGGGCCAATGAATCAAGGGTGCAACTTCCCTCTCTTCCCAAATTGAACAACTCCGCGGAATGGATGAACTCTAAGGAAAGCTCGCTCCCCAACCTCAAACTGAATATCTCGTCTATGTTGATCGGCTGATGACTTCTGCCGACTCTGAGCGGTCTTAAGCCTTTGCCGGATCAACTTGACCTGTTCTGCTGTCTCCTCGATCATCTTCAGACCGAGTACTCGATGCTCACCAACATCGTCCCAATAAAGAGGGGAACGACACTTACGACCGTAAAGTGTCTCGTAAGGAGCCATCTGAATAGAAGAATGAAAATTGTCGTTGTAAGCAAACTCAACATATGGTAATAACGACTCCCACTTAGCACCCCTATCAACAACCAAAGCCCGAAGCATATCCTCCAAGGTCTGAATGGTCCGCTCGGTCTGTCCGTCAGTCTCTGGATGGTAAGTCGAACTGAACTATAGTCGCGTGCCTATTGCATGGTGCAAACTCTCCCAGAATCTACTGGTGAACCTGGGATCCCTGTCTGACACGATAGTAATAGGCACTCCGCGGAGTCGAATGATTCCACGTGCATAAATCTAAGCTAACTTGTCCAAAGACATGTTCATTGATACTGGCATGAAATGAGCAACTTTAGTCAATCTGTACACCACGAGCCAAATAGCATCGTGATGTTCAGACGACTTTGGTAATCCTGTAACAAAATCCATCGTAACCTCCTCCCACTTCCACTTCAGAATCGGCAGTGGTCGCAGAAGGCCTATGGGACTCTTGTGTTCGGCTTTGACTTGCTGACAGGTTAAACATTTTCTTACAAAGTCGGCTACGTCCTTCTTCATTCCTCGCCACCAGAACGACCTTTTTAGGTCATGATACATCTTCGTGCTCCCTGGATGGGCTAAATAAGGCGCGGTATGAGCTTCCGTCAATATCTCCTTCTGCAACGCCTCGACTTTTGGTACAACTATTCTGCCTCGAACTTCCAAGGCTCCATCTGGGCCTCGGTGAAATCCCTCAACTCCTCCGGCGCGGATTTTGGCATCAATAGCACGAATAAATTCATCAAAAGCTTGCTCCTGCCGGATTCTCTCCCTCAACGTCGGCTGAACCTGCATAGCACTCACACTCCCCGTAATCACTGTAGGAAGTGCATCAACTACGTGAATCTGCATCCGGGCGAAGTCCTAAATAAGACGGCTCTGCTGAGTAACAACATAAGTCAAGTCCCCCTTCACCTTTCGGCTTAGGGCATCAGCAACAACATTCGCCTTCCCCGGATGGTACTGAATAGTGCAATCATAATCCTTAACGAGCTCCAACCAACGGCGCTGTCGCATGTTGAGCTCCTTTTAAGTGAAAATGTACTGTAAGCTCTTGTGATCAGTAAAAATCTCGCATCGATCGCTGTATAAATAATGTCGCCAAATCTTAAGAGCATGAACTACTGCTGCTAGCTCCAAGTCGTGCGTAGAATAATTCTGCTCACGAGGCTTTAATCGGCGTGAAGCATAAGCAACGACTTAGCTATCCTGCCTGAGTACGCATCTCAAACCCTGTCTTGAAGCATCACTGAAAATGGTGAAACTCCGAGAAGGATCGGGAATAGTCAACACCGGTGCTCTTGTAAGCCTTTTCTTGAGCTCCTGAAAGCTCGATGCACATCGATCAGTCCACTCAAACTTCACAGACTTCCTCGTCCGCTGGGATAAAGGAAGGGCAATCTTGGAGAAGCCCTCAATGAACCTGCGGTAATAACCAGCCAAACCGAGAAAATTGCGAACTTCGGATGGAGTCTTCGGTGTTGACCAGTTCTGAACAGCGGCAACCTTGGCTGGATCCACCTCGATACCTGCCTGAATGATAACATGGCCAAGAAATGCTACTCGCTGAAGCTAGAATTCGCATTTGGAGAATTTAGCATATAACTTTTCACGTCTAAGGGTTTCAAGAACAACCCTTAGAAGCTCTTCGTGTTCCTTCTGGCTCTTGGAGTAGATAAGAATATCATCAATGAAAACAATAACAAATTGATTGAGGTAAGGATGAAAGATACGGTTCATCAGGTCCATAAATACAGCTGGAGCATTGTTGAGGCCAAATGGCATGACTACGAACTCATAATGACCGTAACGGGTACGAAAAGCAGTCTTTGCAATGTCTGACTCTTTGATATTTAGCTGATGGTAGCCTGATCGTAAATCAATCTTGGAAAACACACAAGCTCCCCTCAGCTGGTCAAATAAATCATCAATCCTGGGAAGCGAATATTTATTCTTGATAGTTAACCGGTTGAGATCCCAGTAATCGATGCACATGCGCATAGAGCCGTCCTTCTTTTTAACAGAAAGAACGGGTGCTCCCCATGGTGACATGCTCGGTCGGATAAAACCGAGTCGAAATAACTCCTGAATTTGCGCCTTAAGCTCTTGCAATTCTTTCGGCGCCATTCGATAAGGTGCTTTGGAAACTGGGCCGGCTTCTGGAATAAGATCAATAGAGAACTCTACCTGCCGGTTAGGTGGTCCTCCTAGAAGTTGATCCGAGAACACATCCACAAACTCACGAACAAAAGGAACGTCGTGAGGTGTCCGTGCCCTCGGTTCATTGCTGATAAGACTAACAAGATAACCTGACAATCGCCTCGATGTAACATCTTCTTGGCTTTCGCCATAGAAATAACATGAGGTAAGGAAAGAGTCTTGGTGCCAAAGAAAGTAATATGATCATCTCCCGGAAGATAAAGAGTAATCTCCCGATCATGACATCGAATATTTGCATGAAAATATGTTAGCCAATCCATGCCGAGAATGAGGTCAAAGTCCATCATCTCGAGAACATAAGCGTTGGTAGACAATATATGACCACCGATGGAAAGGCTGAGACCAGTTGCTCTGGCATCAGTCACCATCTTTCGTCCCGAGGCTAAACTCACCTCGAGAGGATCGATAGCGGTAATAGCATGTACTTCGATGGAATCAAGACATCATCGTGATATAAAAGAGTGTGTTGCTCCAGTATCAAATAAGGCGAAAACAGGAACATCGTTAAGCATAACCATCCCAGACATAGTACCTGGGTGTTGTTCCGCCTCGGCCTGATCTACTGCATAAACCTGAGCCTGTTGTCTGCCTCTATGCTGCTGCTGGGGTGGCCTCTAGGCCGGTTGTCGGGGCTGCTGTTGCTGTGGCTGCTGGGGCTGCCGTGGCTGCTGTAGTGGTTGCTGGGCTTACTTCAGACAATGGCTAGCAAAATGTTCGGCCTCGTGACAGTAATAGCAAATATCATGGCCAGCGCGACACGCTCCACGATGAAGTCGTCCATAAGTGGGGCATGGTGGAACCTGCTGCGGCCTCGGACGGATCCTCCTTTCGGTCTGGGCGCCTTTCCCTTTCCTCTTCCAATCCTTCGATTGTTGGGCAGCAGTTGGTGGAACTGGTGGAGCTGTAGATGATTGGGCAGGGGGAAATGGCTGCAAACGATCGTGGTTAGCCTCCCTCCGAATGCTGGCGTTAACCTCCTGGGCGATAGAAACTGTGCAAGCATAGGTCTGTACACCGTGACCTACAATGTTATGACGGACTGCTGGGTAAAGCCCGTCAGTGAAGCGTTGTGCCCTCTTTGCCTCTGTGCTCACCAGATCGGGAACAAAGGCTCCGGGTCGAGTGAATTCTCGCTCGTACTCGTCTACAGAACGGGTACCCTATTTGAGCGCCAGGAATTGACGCTCCATCTCTGCTCGATAGTAAGTGGGATAATATTTCTCCCGAATCAGCTCCTTGAACCTGTCCCATGTACAACCCTCCTTTTCGCCTGGACGCATAATCCAGTAGGCGTTCCACCAAAGTCGTGCATCCCCCATCAATTGGATCTGTGCGCATAAAGCGCGATAGCGGTCTGGACAGTCAACTCAGCGGAAACCGTAGCAGGAAAACATGTAAATCCCACTACGGGAGATAGTAACAATGCTGCTAGACATAATTCAAACTATATAAGCATAACCCATGCATAATTCAAACTTTATAAGCATAATCCCGAACTGTTCACCAGCTCACACCTCCGGTCCGACTCCATGACCTGAAAAAACATAATAAACATGGGGCGTGAGCACTAAATCCACTGTGCTTCGTAGGAACTCATACTAAAGTAAACAGTGAAAATAATTGCAATATCATGATCCTGGCATATACATGAACTGAAACTGAAACTGGTATCTGATTCTGATATCGTGATAATCGTCACGTGAATGATACATCTGCCAGCATAGAAATGCCGGACACCATGTGCACACTCTAGTGGACAGACTAGGGCCACTAGAACCCAGAATGGACCGGCGACCATTCCAAGCGGATACATGAATTGATAATACATACCTCAAACATGGTAGAGTAATTATAATCAATGTAATACTCAGTCTGAGTCCCCACCTGAACTGCTGATATGAAACGGAAAGTGCTGACGATCGTGAACTGTTCAAACTTCAACATAATATAAACAAATACTAAGTACTACGCTCAAACTTAATAAATTTAATTGTTAAGATGCTCGACTTGACTTGACGTGACATTTGAACTTAAACGGTATCACCAGAACCGGTTAAAATCGAAACTGAACTGACATGAATTTATTGAACTTGACCGGACTCTGAAATTAACTGAAATTTGGACATAAACATGAATCGGAACACTTAAATAATAAATTTGAGCCAAACCGGTCTGAACTTGCCGGTCTGGGGTCTGGCCGGACCGCCAGCCTGTTGTGGCCGGGCGGTCGGCCGCTGGCTCGGCCAACTGGCCTGCTAAGGCCGCGGGCATGGGTGGTGCATGCAATGGGTGCAGACACGGGCGCTGCAGTGCCTCACTGGCTGTGGCTGGTCGCGGCGTGGGCGCTTGTGCACGCTGGCGTGTGTCTGGCGCCACTTGCTCGCATATGGGGTAACCATCGAGCACAGCTGAGTGCTTTCTAGGGTCGACTGGATGTGATCTGAACTGCTGGTGCGCGACTAGCGCATCGCGGACATGATGCGGGGCACTGGCGTGCGTATCGCGCGCACTGACAAGCCCTCGCGTGCTGGCTGGGCGTTACTGGACGTGCAAGATGGTGACTAGCGCTTCCGAATGCTATGTGCGTTGACACTTGCGCAACTAAACGCTGCCGGGCGCTACCGCACACCGCGACAGGTGACTGGACACATGAATGTGCACACAGGCGCTGGCTGTGCGTGTCTGGGTACCGCGCATGTGCTGTCGTGCGACTCTCGCGGTACTGGCACTCGGCGTGCTGTTGGGCCACACTCGAGGCCGACTGGCGTGCGAGTATGCACACTGGCGTGCGCTACGCGTGTTGGCATGCGCTATGCGCTGCTAACTGAGGACTGACTGCGAGCAGGGAACATGCGCGACGCCCGACTGGGCATGTTTGCACGTACCCGCGTAGCGTGCGTGACTGCCGGCGTGTACTACCCACTACGTGCGGGCACAGCAACCACGGTCGATCCTTACTGGCCGTCTGGCGACTTTCTCCGGCAACATCAATGTGAATCAACATAATTCAACATAACGCAATCAACTATGCGCAATTTACTCAAAAAATCATGAACATAGCCCGTTAATACACGAGTGGCCGGTGGCGTGCGCACCGAGCGCATCCTACGGCTTTAAGCCGATTCTTCGACCAACCGCTCACTTCCCTCGACAACCATCACTTGACTGACTATATTATACCTAATAATGGCTCATGAAACATAGAATGCTCGGGAGTTGCCGAATGAAAATGAATATTGCTCGACATGAACTAACATGACATCAACCGAGTTTGACCTAGCCTTTTCATGAATCAAAGGGCATGAATTTAATAAGATGATCCTAAAATAAGCATATTAACTCGGAAAGAGGATGAAGACGTGCTTAGTGAATAGCTGAAGTATAAACTAAATTTTTACACTCCAACTTCTGATTTATAGATGGTTAACCGTGGTGAAATTTGGGAGAAAAGCCTCGGCCAATGGCCGAGCGCCACTTGCCGAGTGAGAAGGGCCTTAGGTGGCCTCTTGTGTGCTTAGTCACCAAGTACTTGGCTTAGTCACCTTCCCAACTTACCTCAAGCCTCCACATGCTAAGTGTAATGATGGTAATTCACGTGAGAATTGGGAAGCAATAACTCTCGGCTATTATGATGGCTAATCATGACTTAGGCACGCTAATTCTTGAGCAAAGCACTATGGCTTAGTGCTAAAGGGCGTGCATAATGAATGTGCATTTAAGCCATACTAATGACGGGCGGTACTTGCCTTAATGCGTGATCAATGACCGGCTAGGTCACTTGATTGCACCATTAGCATATGATCAATGAACTTAAGCTCGATAAAGTATTTATCGAGCAATTAGACATGGATTAACGTATAACACATGACATTAATAACTTAGAAAATATTTCGAGCATAACATGAACATTACAGTATTAAACACGTAATTTACATTAATAACATAATGGGCTATTACACTCTGAAGCTGGAAGATAATATAAAACGGGCATTCGTATTATTCATTACTTATTTATTTGATTTATCAAGGGTGATTCCTATTCTATTAGGATGACATACTCGGTATGTAATAGCCCACTATGTTATTAATGTAAATTACGTGTTTAGTTTCGTAATATTCACGTTTATGCTCGGAATAATTTCTAAGTACTTAATTTCATATGTTATACGTTAATCAATGCTTAATTACTCGATAAAATCTGACCGAGCTTAATCATCTTGATCATGCGCTAATCATTTTATCAATTGGCCTAATCGACCATTAATCCGCACAAGTGTTGCATTGCCGAGAGGTAGTGCTTAACCATGCCTAAACGTGCGCTAATTGCCGAGGGATCATGATTACCGCCGATCGTCCTTAGTATACTAAGTACTTGTGCTTAGTTAACTTCAATCATATTTAACTAAGGCATAAGACATGCTTGTCAATCCAAATTGCCGAGAGATGAGGGGTAAATAGTGCACGTGAACCTCATCATTATTAGCTACCTTGTGTGGCATCTTCACAATATTCATGTGATGACTAAGCTTCTTCTAAAAGCTCCACCTAAGCAATGACTAACCACAAGAGGCCACCTAAGTCTCTAAGTGCACGGCAAGTGGCGAGAGGTCATTGGCCGTGAGTTTTCTCCTCATTCTTCACCCAAATTTACTATCGTCCGTCCATCTATTTATATATGAAGTGTTTGATAAATTTTACCTTACACTTAAGTTAAATACTAAGCAAGAATTAATAGAGATTAAGCTAATTTCCATACACACGCACGTACGCAAGTTTCTACCGCAAGGTACCCGATCGATCACGAGAATCACGCACCATTGAACGAGCGATTGAAGAGGTAATCTTTTCTTGAACTTCTTCGTAAGTTAATATGATCATGTTATGTCCAAATCATATGATTAAGTTCATGAATAGATCATATTTGCTTTCGGTCGTATCATTTAAACCATGACGAGTCACGTTCATTTTTTATTCGACAACTCATGAACGATTCCATTTTATTAGTCATTTTTGGATATATAACGATCAGTCATGTAGAAATTGTGGAGAGAAGTTGTCAATTTGCCGAAGAAATCGGTCAAAGACATGGGCTGCGCACGTCACGCACGCCACGGCCGTTAGCGTCTCATCGTTCATCTTAAGTTGTGATCATTGTCAACCAAATGATTTATGTGTATTTATTCATTCCATGCTAAGTTATGTTGATCCATGCTATAAATTGTCGGGGGGAAAATGTTAAATGGCCAAGTGGATCGGTTTTAGTTGTGGGTCGCAAATACGCGCACGCAACACACCCTTTCCGAACCATGTCAATGTCTTGTTAAGCGTTTACAATTAAATTATGTGTTTATGTTCATTTTATAGCGAGTCATGTTCATTTATGTTAGAGTGGTCGGATGAAGTCGCCGGATGGCCGGCAGCGGGCCGGTCGTAGTCTCGCTGCCCGCACATAGCGGCCACAGCGAACCGGCAGTCAGTCAGGGTCGTGCGAGTGTTGTGCATAAGCCCATCCGGGCGTCGTGTACAGCTTCTGCCCGCAGCTGTCGACAGCCTATTAGTGCCAGCGCACGCCGGCACGTTCCAGCGCTCATTAGTGAGTTCAACTGCACGCCAATCGGCCTCGAGCAGTGCCCAACAACGCGCCCAAGCACCATGTACCGTCAGGGTCACCCGGCAGTGCCCGAGCGGTACAAGCTCCGGCCAGCCAGCGAACATGCCGGTTCAGATCAGTTTATCTCACATTTTAATAATTATTGATCTGGTTCATGTTCACGTCAGTATTTCAGTTAAATTCCAGGTCCGGTCAGGTTCAGTAAATTCATGTCAGTTCGGTTCTGATTTTAAACTGGTTCCGAGTATATTGGTTAAGTTCAAATGCTATGTCAAGTCAAGTCGAGTATCTTAACAGTTAAATTTGTTAAGTCTGAGCATACTTAGTATTTGTTTATATCATGTTACAGCTTGATCACTCTACAGTCATCAGCACTACCATTTTCATATCGACGGTTCAGGTGGGGACTCAGACTGGGAATTACATGTTGGGTTCTGTTAAGAACGTCCAACAACATGCACAGTATTGAACTTTATCGAAATAAATCCTAACGCAGCGGAATCTATAGTTAGGATATGGACGTTTACCTTTTAAAATTTTTGCCGACTCTGAGATGATGTAGAGTTCCGTTGATGAAGTTCGTCTGAAAACCACAACCTAATGGGCGGATAGGTTTGGCCTTTAATCGATTCTAATCGATAAGTTCCACGAAGCTCGATCACACGGCACGCGGGTCTCGGTCATCGGGTGCAGCGGACGGTCGTGAGTGTAGGGCGCGGGTCGCTGGCAGGTACGCGGGTTGCAGCAAACGACCACTGGTGGTGTGCGTGTTGCGGACGGGCGCAAGCGGGACGCACGGGACTACTGGCGATGCGTGGGTGGATGTCGGGCGTGTGCGTACACGCGGTGCACTTCTCCTATGCCGAAGCAGACTGGGCTTATGCGTCTGGGACCATGCGGCTTGCTGGACAATGAATCCTGGGCGCGCGCGGACTGGATGAGCGCTGGGACCTCGCGATCGGCAACAGCGAGCAGCAGGGATGAACGGGCGTCGCTGGGAACTTGCGATCGCAGGCGCGAACGGACGTCGCTGGTGGACGCAGGTCGTAGCTGGGACGTGAGGCGTTGCTCACGTCGTGGTGCGGTCGCGCTGCGGTTGCACACGGCTGGACTCGGCGGACCTCCGACGGCGATGTGATTTTCCGGCGGTGGATCATGGCGGCGATGGGCGGTGATGATGTGATGATGATGACCGGAAAATATGGTTATTAGAAAGATCAATCAATTGTACCCAAAAGCCTTCTAACGGATTACCTAAACACCTATTTCGATTAAACTTGGTGGAGCATTTAATCGAATCTTCCTAACTCTCGAACAATGATATTTCCCTTGTGCATGTAGGTGAGAAGATCGGCCAACATCAACTTGTAGGAGAGATTGGGACATGGTGTATTTATAGGCTCCATTAGGGACCTTAAGGAGGTGCTAAATATGGACTTATTCCATTAGGCCTAGGAATTCTAATTCTAATCTAATACTAACTCAATCTTAGAAGGAGATCTCCTACTAATCCATCTCTTCTAGAAGACTCCTAAGTCTCCTAACACTAGAGAAGATCCTTGTAGGAATTTCCTTTCCTAATTAAATTAATAACCATGGAATAGAATTAATTCCTAATTTAGGATACCTAATTTTACTCAAATTAATAATATAATGTAGGAAATATATTCCCTACTAATCTCCATCTTCTAGAAAACTCCCAAGTC